CCCGCCGTAGATTTACGAATCGATGGCGTAGCTCTCGACTTTCACAAGTGCTTATAACAGCCTAGACTGAATAAATAATTTTGATTTCATTTAAAAGAGTCTTTTAGAGATATGACTTGTATTTGTAATCTTCTATAAATAGTATATAACAAAGTTTCTTCCATTTATCTGTTGTGCGCTGAGATCTTTAAAACGTTATACGGATTTTAATGCGATTTTCAACAACAGATAGTGATTCAAGAAGGAGATTTATATATATAATACAGTAGGCTAGTTACAAATAAAAGCAACTTGGATGAAGCACGTGAAAAGGAATCTAAAATTGATTGTGGAAATAGTAAGACAGCTTGTGAAAAACCATTTTTAAAAATTTTTAGGGTTCCGTAGCAAACAAGGAACCCTTCTAATTTCACCATGTCCGTCTGTCCGTCCGTCCGCGGTCTAACTCAAACACTATCTATTGGTAATTACGCTGACAAAAAGGTAAAGTAACATTTCGTATTTTTTTTTTATTTAATTAATTTTAAAACAACAAACTTGTTTTTCTTTTTTACCTTGTTAATGGATAATGGTACGGAATCCGTTGTGCCACTTGGCTGGTTTTCCTTATCTACAAAATTTAGGCTATCCCTAATCGATGTTAATAAATGATATTGACAAGCATAGATAGCTTATCTTAACAACAACATGATAAAGTTTACAAAAGAAATCAAAATCATTAACAATATTATAATAAATTAGTTTGTTATATCGTACCTAATAATAGAGATTCTAGATAAGTAAGTACGAGTTGTATTAGATATTCTACCGCAACATGAAGTGATCAAATTCTACGATCTGGCTACGACGTATTATGAAAAAATATTCTTGCGTCGAACAGTTAATTTATTGAGGAAGGCTATAGATTATACGAGTATATTAACACTAACTAATAGGAGTGGAGCAGCAACGAAAAATGCTGTTTAAACGGTAAAACTACAGGAGCGAAATCGCATGCGGAAAGCTAATGTTTCTGTAATAAAGCAGATATCTCTACAATTATTTGTGATAAGCGTTTCCCAGAACATAGTTAATTGATGCAGACTCGAAGGGAAGTCTTCTTAGCTGTTCTACCAACAGATATAGATAGGAAGTTGTTAATTGGCGCAGAAAGGTATGTTTCAATTAATTTTCTTGTTGAACATACCTTTATTATTGGTTGTACGATGTTGATGATAATAATGTAGAGTTTATAGTTTACTTATTTACAAAGATATAGTTCTTCATGAAATATGCTTAAAAAATTAGCCAACCGAAGTATTTTGAAATGGGATTCGAAACCATGGCCTTTCGAAATCCGAGCGACCGCTCCAACCATGGAGCTTAATAGGACCCAACAGGATTGATGCAAACACTTGTACCTGGGATGGTGGTTTTTTTAAGCATTTTCCAGTACGGTGATTGTGAATGCATAATTCATCAAATATAATAAAGTTTTCGTTTTCAGAAGATCAGTATTCAACTTGATTCAGGAGGAAGCTTTATTTGTATAAAACAGGACCACCCGGGAGAATCCGCTGGCAGAAAACTTAACTAAAATTAATTTCTTGAAGTACAATTATATATATATATATATATACACACCGTGCCACATGAATAAGACCAATGCATTTTCCTTTGCTCTTTAAAATATGAATCAAAATAAATATCTAGAAATAAAAGGTATTTAAATCTTAAGACATGCCACGTTTAACTATAAACAATTAAACACCAAAAACACTCAACGAGGCGCTCGCAACAATTCCTATACTCAATGTGTCGCGCCACTTGAATATGACCATTAAATAAAACATAATATATATTATTACTAAATTTTATTATTAACATTTTTTATTGATTAATAATCAATGCCTTTTCCATTCTTTTGAATTAAATAAAAAATACGGGATGGCATTGAGTGGTATAGTTTTCTTATAAATGTAATTGATAATACCTTCCTTGAGCTCGTGCTTGGTGTTATATTGTTTACTGTTCTTATAAACTTCACGTGACAGCCATCCTCACACATTTTCAATTATGTTCAGGTCGGGGGAGAGTGATGGCCAATCGAGAATATTTATATTATTTTGTAGAAACCAATCGCGAACGTTACGTGCTCTATGAATACTAGCATTATCATGTTGAATAATAAAACCTTCATTGCAAAAAAATATTTGGACGATTCAAAAGTGCTTGAAATAAACTTGAATAAAGATAAAGATATTTTCATTTCATTTCAACCAGGTCAAAAATTTGATTATGCGTTTATATCCGCCGCCCCCGCGCATTTATTTTTTTTTCAATTGGAGGCCGCCAATACCGGACGCCTGAGGCGTACCGCCCGACCCATCTTAGTCCGCAGCTGTATTATAGTCTTGCAAGTATTTGCAGACACTAGCCTGGGTGTTCCCCCCTCGGAGGGTATTCGCAGTAGGTTTTACCAGGTAGGCCGACCTCGCTTAACCCTGCTTCAGGACGGGTGCTGGGTCGGAGAGCCCTGGTTTAAGGCTTAAGGTTGCATTTCCCTTTTATTAAAAAAAAATACTTGCACACACTGACTGACTGGGCGTGGAAGTACCTAGATATCATAATTAAAACAGTTATAAATCAAAAAGCACTTGAGACTATTGAATAAACTATTACGAAATAATTTAAATATTTAATAAAGAACTTGTCACTCTTTCACTCTCGTAACAGTTTGGATTGATGACTCAATTAGTTTGTCAAGTAAGCACTTCTACTCATCACTATTAGTATTCAGTCTTACGTCAGTCTTTTAACATGCAAATAAATTGCAAGTGGGTACATCGTCGGCCACTTTCTAAGAGAGATCAATTTCTCTTTTTTTTTTAACACTGTTACACTTCTAATTATAATTCCTTTCTCTTAGACCTCTTTTGTTAAAAAAATCATGTATATCATCAATAAAATGTTAATAAGAAGGAAAAGAATATTTTTCGCTATAACGCCTCCGTAGTTTAAAAGCGCCGCCGTCTCTGAGGTCCCGTGTTCAATTCCCGATCAATATAGGAAATAAAGTTTTCTATCGGTCTTAATATTTTGCAGTATAGCATTGTGAATGACAAATTTATCAAATATAATAATAGTTAAAATATGAATTACGATTACGATACAATTTAATAACAAAGACATCCTTATAATCTTATTTTTTTTATTACTATTTGTTAATATATCGTTTTTATATCACTTTTGTAGTCAAGAGTATTGTGCATCACTTTTATAGTAATAGTTTGCGAGTTTACAAAACAATAGTTTTTTTACGCACAGTTTGCTATCCTTTGTCCCACTTATGTTATTTAGATATTAGATAGAAACAGTCTTTTATCATAATAATGTATAGTTCCAAAACTATAAACTTTTGTTATATACTTAAAAATGATGAAAATTCTTTTAATTACAGAAACCTTCAGTATATCCGAAGATAAACAAACAAAGAAAGTTACAAACTTTTTTCCTAATATCAGTATAGATTTGAATCTACGAAGTGCTCATTGCTTATTATAAAATCCTAATAAAAAAGAATATCGCAGTTATACGATTGTATTTAATTGCAATACGAGCTTGGTTCTCCACGATAGGTTTGCGTCATTTGTTGTTTATTGCCACAGGAGCGGCCTGCTTCACGTCCAAAATGCAATAAACGTCGTCCAACTGATTGGCAGAAACGTAAATAATGTCGGTATCTCGTTATTTCGATATCCGGTTGAAACCTAGTAAGGTCGGGCCGTTGACATTGGTAGGAATTCTGTTGCACAAACTATGTAGACTAAATTTGCTTTCAATATGGCTTTTTGCGACTAAATTTTAAAACCTGTAAAAAACTAAGATAACTGAAGTAAAATTATTATATAGTACATGAGTATTGACTATAGTTGTTTAATTACTACGCAATAATGTTAAAATTGAAACTGCAAGCTAATTGTCTAATAATTTGAAGTATATTTGCGTCTAACGCTTGCCCAAGTCAATTCAAATTAACGTCAAATGGGGACATCAATAGGTTGGTGATGACGATGAGAGCCTAGGTAAAGCCTCAAATGCTAGAGAACTGTTATAGTTAACAAGCATAAAGTATGTCAAAACTCAATTTATAAAAAAAGAAAATCATCTCCGCAACAAAATAAAATGGATTTAATTTTGTAATCAATTTTTGAAAGCAAAAAGGTTATACTACTAACACATAACACAAATAACATATCACAGTTGAACGTGTGAGAACTACAATGAAAATGGATTAATTTGTTATATTTCTTCAGTATTTACATATAGTACACTGTAATTTAATGGTTGATTAATGTAATTACCGAGACTTTAATTAGTAACGTATATAACTCAAGGAGAGACACTTACTTAATGCATACTTTTCAACAATCTTTACTGATTGTTTTTAATGGAATGCAAACTTATCAACAGAACCGCTTTTATACAAAACTTTGAATGGCATATATATATATATTTTTAGTAACCAGATTTTTTATATTTTCTCGCGTAGGTACTACTCATTAAATAAAACTACGCTTGTACGGAAGTATTTGTATTTTTAAAAAATGTTTAATTTTTTTAGACGTTTTGGATCCTATAAATAACACGGAACCTGTAAAAGATCCGTAACATTAAAAAAAAAAGCAATTTTTCAAAAAATGCACGCTATATAACCGTATAAAAACTAGATTTTTTTATTAAGACGGATAACAAATGTAGTAAGGAGAATTATCTTCAAGTGCATTCTAGTAAATAAACGTACTACTGAATGACTGACTCATCTTGTTATGACTTGCAACAAATCGAAACTTCGAATAAACATCTAGAGAAATCTACCCTTTGAGTCACACGGCACGCTTGTTTTAAGCTACACGGCACATTTTGCGCTCCTTACTACGTCATTTGCGCACGGTTCATGCGTTTTGCGCACGATCACAAATCACTAGTCATATATAAGCGAATGTATTGTTATCAGCCACAATACCAACTGATACGTTCAACAGAAACTGAGTGATAAGAGTTCCAGCTATATTTGCAAATAACGTGAGTAAATCTAATTTTATTTGTTACTTGTAATTTGTGTGTGGTGCAGTTCTGATATAATAAATTATTTCCTTTCGTAATTACTGTAAATAGTGAAATTAATTAGAATATGTTTATCGGCATGCTCTTATTTTTGACTAATGCCCCGCCTAAGTTCGCCTGACGTTTTTGAAAATACTATCGAATATGTTCTTATACGATAACATTATCGTTGATTCTAAATGATAATAATTTTTGAGATCAAAGAGTTTATGATTCTAGTGTATACATTCATGTTTTCCGGTATACATAACTTATGGCTGTGTAATGAGTGATTGTTATTAGTTTCTTGATCACCTGTAATATATATTATTAGGTCTTCTTAAAAAAAATAAATTCAATTATAATATTTTAAAACACCTTTTTAGGTATCAAACGAAATACAAAACGAGTTTCAATACTGTCTTAAAACTATTTTAAAGTTCAGTTTTAATTTTTTTTTATAAACCTTGTATATCATCCGTAAATTATCCTTTAAATAAGGTGCCAAATGATCATGACCAATAAATTACAATGTTTTTAAATATAGGTACGAGTTAGTATTAAATTGAACCAAAGTGATCTTATAAGGTTGAGATTTCGATTAGAAAAAGAAAGAGTTTGATAAACAAGAACTTAATGGTTTAATAACATTCTATATTATTTTACAGATCATCTTAAAACAGTCATAATGGCAAGTACTAGTGAACAAAGCTGCAGAAATCCTATAGAAGGCAAGTGCACCAAAATTTGTGACAAGGAGGAATGCATATGTGTTGAGACTGGTGGAAAATCTTGCATATGCATCTGTTCTGATAAACAAGGGAAGATAATTCGATGCGATGATTGTGGTGGAAAATCATGCATATGCATTTGTTCTGATAAACAAGGGAAGATAATTCGATGCAATGATTGCAAATGTGTAGAAAATGGCAAGTGCCATTGCAAATGCGATGATGCTAAATGCATTTGTGTACCAACTGACGGAAAAGCTTGTGTATGCTTGTGCCGTGATGAAAAAGGTGACATTACGGTCTGTAACGACTGCTCTTGTACACCTCAAGGAGCTAAGGAATGTTGTACCAAAACTTGTGACAAGAACAAATGCATATGTGTCGAGACTGGTGGAAAATCTTGCATATGCATCTGTTCTGATAAACAAGGGAAAATAATTCGATGCAATGATTGCAAATGTGTAGAAAATGGCAAGTGCCATTGCAAATGCGATAAATGCATTTGTGTACCAACTGACGGGAAAGCTTGTGTATGCTTGTGCCGTGATGAAAAAGGTGACATTACGGTCTGTAACGACTGCTCTTATACACCTCAAGGAGCTAAGGAATATTGTACCAAGACTTGTGACAAGAAGAAATGCATATGTGTCAAGACTGGTGGAAAATCTTGCATATGCATCTGTTCTGATAAACAAGGGAAAATAATTCGATGCAATGATTGCAAATGTGTAGAAAATGGCAAGTGCCATTGCAAATGCGATAAATGCATTTGTGTACCAACTGACGGGAAAGCTTGTGTATGCTTGTGCCGTGATGAAAAAGGTGACATCACGGTCTGTAACGACTGCTCTTGTATACCTCAAGGAGCTAAGGAATGTTGTACCAAGACTTGTGACAATAAGGAATGCATATGTGTCGAGACTGGTGGAAAATCTTGTATATGCATCTGTTCTGATAAACAAGGGAAAATAATTCGATGCGATGATTGCAAATGTGTAGAAAATGGCAAGTGCCATTGCAAATGCGATAAATGCATTTGTGTACCAACTGACGGAAAAGCTTGTGTATGCTTGTGCCGCGATGAAAAAGGTGACATCACGGTTTGTAAGGACTGCTCTTGTACACCTCAAGGAGCTAAAGAATGCTGCACCAAGACTTGTGACAAGAAGGAGTGTAGATGTATCGAGACTGGTGGAAAATCTTGCATCTGTATCTGTTCTGATAAACAAGGGAAGATTATCCGATGTGATGATTGTCAATGCGTTAGTAATAGTGAATGTGTTTGCAAATGCGATGATGCTAGATGCATCTGTATTCCAACTGACGGAAAAGCTTGTGTATGCTTATGTCCTGATGAAAAGGGTGACATCAAGGTCTTTAACGATTGTTCTTGTTTACCTCAAGCAGCTAAAGAGGGCTAAGCAAAATAGGCGTCGTAAAAAACCATCTAGTTAAAGATAAACAGCAAAACTTATTGCATATGATGAGTGCTCATGAATTTATCTGTAATTGTAATGAGTCTTAATATAAGTATTTGTATTTTAACTGCAAAGAAAAGATGCGTTCACACTTTAAAGAAGAAAATACTGATGACGGTTGTGACGCTAGGGTTGCTTATAATCATGTAACAGGTTTATTTGTAATACCTTATAAAATAATCTTAATTTTATATCGGTCTAGTATTCGGTTATATGATTAAGTTTGTATTATGAAAATTATTATATTTTAAATTTTCATGAATAAAAGGTCTATAAATTGTAATATTTGTTTTTATTTTTCATTCCAATCACTACATTGAAAATCTGTTTATTAAACAGGAACATCAAGAACTATTATTATTCCAGTGTTTAATTTCTTTAAGGCTGGATGTAAAGAAGGGCACTTTCTATTTCATTGCGCCCGATAATAATAAAAACAACATAGCGAATTGCACGTAAAAATATTTTATTAATTGATTGAGTAAAAAGCAAGTTATTTACATTAGTAAAAATATTGCATATAGCCTATTTATTAATTGTGTTAAAAGCAAAAGAGTAAAATAACGAAAGGATATCGAAAAATGTTAAATTTCAAGGGGTTTTGTGATTTTCTTTTATCGAGAAAAAATTATGTCACTTTTTTGCTAATTTTTTGTAGAATTTATTTGGACGTTATTGTTTGATACAGAATCGATTTAAACATAATAATCTTAGCTGTACGCGCTCACTTAATAAACAACGATGATGTCTCAAAATTCAAGCACCTTACTGTTTCATTAAGGTGAAGGTCTTAATATAATCAAATTACAAATTAAAGTACAGTCAATACGTTAGCGAATATTTCTTTACTATGTTAACAATTCATTTGAAACCTTATGTTATTGAAATTAATATTCGATATTGATTGTAAAATATCGAAATTGTATGGTAGTCTTATATCTTACTACTATTTGTTACACGTTTAGCTTAATCTTTTCATTGGTCAAACTTATTGAATGAAGCTTAAATATTTTTAATCACCAGTGACATTGACATGACCGTTTGTGATTTCAAAATGTATTGTGGGCGTGACTTTTTTGTCCAAAATAAATAGTTGATGTTTGTTTTGTACTTATTTGGGTTTTTGTTTAATTATTAGCTGTCGCGTTCTTAGAATAGATTTGATGGAAGGATCAGCCTGTTATGGCAGCTTGATAAGTGATTATTTTTTGTTTGTTATGGTGTTTAATTTGTCTTAATGGTTTAAATGGTTGGATTATAAGTGTGTTCGTTGTGATTTTGAATTATTTAGATTGAATTTATCGTATAAAAATAAGAGGAAATATCATTAACATTCCTACAACAATTATGTACACATTATACCTTTCTGTTTTTTCTTTTCAGTAAAAAGTCTCCATGTGTAATACATTACCAAGAATACATTTTGTAAGTAGACATTTGTAAATAATTGCATACCTTTCAACTTTCATATATTGTAAATAAATATTTTAATCCTTAGATTAATAATCTCAGTTTTAATCAGTTATTACTCGATAATAATGTTTTAATATTATTTACCAATCCAGTTATAGGAAAACGAAATTATCATAATTTTTATTTTTGGACTAGACAAATGGACGTTAATTTACATCATTTGAATTTTAAACTTATCGTTTTTTTATTTACTAGTAATTTATAACGTCCTAGTGTCGTTCCAATTTTAAATTATTAATTTGTGTTAACTTTTCTTTTTTTTTTATTCTGCAGTAAGTTTTGTTGAAGGCATTTTTTTTACTTAGATTTAATAATAATAATAAAATTTAATAATAGTTATAAACTTTATTTGCATTACCAACAATACATTTTGATTTATAATCGTTAAGATTTAAAAGAACTAAAATAAAATTACAAAGTAACGGAAAAATTAGAACAATAAAGAAATATTATGTCGGTCGTGTGTTGCAGTTGCAAAAGGGTCTATTTATTTTTTATATTTTTGTTTTGTTTTGTCTATATATATACTTACAGCCCGTTACAAAAACGTCCGTAAAATTGGCATTTGTTTAATGCCACTTTACCCATACAATTTTTAAAATATAGAATAAAGTCGTCAATAAAACCTTAATGGACGTTTGTATAACTGACCTTTAATCTGTTATTTGTTTAAGAATTTTTTAGGAGTGATACTGAATACATATTTGAGAATCTTTACCCTGAGTTTTTCCTTCGCCTATTAATTCAGTCGGCAGTACATAATTAGCATGATATATAATGGTTTCAGTATCTAATTCAAGAGAATTAGAAGAAAATTCACTAACTGGTTATAAAGTTCATAAAGTAAATTCGCACCGGTTCAAACTATGGTCCAAGTTTAACTATTTCGGTTATCGCAGATCACCGTCTCACTTGGTAACTGGACCGAGACAGAACTACCAGCGTTCATTAACTCTAATCTCATTTTAATAATTTGCGCGTGTTACCTTTGCTTTTATTAGAGAGGTAAACTTCAAAATGGTTTCTTAAGAGAAAGTTACAAATTAAAAGGTTTTATTCTGTTTAGCTTCATATGCGAAAACATTTTTTTTTTATATTTTACGTTGTTGCTGAGCTTATACAATTTCATGGTAAATATTAAATAAACACAATTTAAGACAATCGGTTCAGACGTAATACAATCTTTATTACCTTTTGAAGTATGTTTTATTTTATTGAAGATCTATAAGAACGCTACGTTCGAGAACTAGTTCGAGGTTATTTTTAACAGAATAACATAGAAAATCTCAAGTAAGTAAAGCTCCTGTGTTTTGGAAATCTGAAACATCCAGACCTGTGATCGGCTAGCATAGTCTTGCGATCACTTATCACACAGCGAGCACAGAATAACTACATTGTGCCTAAGCCTTAAGCAATTCGATGTAATTACTATACGTTGGTACAATGAAGAATCATCGCATGTGAAATTGAAAATTTGATAAACTTCTTCTTTTATTAATGGCTTTTGAGCACATTTCGCACAATTCTGCTAATGTCAAGTGAATGAATTAATTTCTACATGTAAAATGAAATGAATGAAAAATGCTCGATAAATTTAAATTGCGATAACATAATCATCCACTGCCAATGTCATGTTTGTCACATATCATGTTTATTTGTGGTTATGGTGACAGGTGACCATAATTTACTTGATTCCAATTAAATCTAGCAAAAATAAAATTAGAATTTGTTGAAATTTAAACAAACTTCTTTCAAGATATGCGTTAATTATTTTACACGTGTATATATGGTAATCAAAACTGGGATCTTAAGATCTGTATGCGAGCCAAAGCGGCATGAAAATCGTTAAAATAAACAAGAAAAGTCTGTGTGATAAATCAAACAAGCAAGTATCACTAGTTAATCCTGCAAACTTCGAGCTGCCAATAATTTAATTATTAAAATATACCCTATGTAAATAGTTATAATGACATTGATGAAATATAGTTAACGTCAGTTTAGTAGTTTTTGAGTTTATTCATCACATTCAAATATAATTAATCTTTATAATGTTAGTATGCAGGTAGTTTGTTTGCTAGCACCAAATAATAAACATCTTACCAAACATACCCGAGTATACAAATTATTTCAATTTAGTTACATTAATATACCTGGTTATATTTTCCGAATCTCACAGGTGGCCAAGTATTTACATTCGATAAGATCATGCATTACTTCCTTGTCCCCGAAAGCCTTATTTGGCACAGGTTCGAGTCTAGAAAGGCTAAGTAGTTAATAATAGTAGGTAGCTGTTTCTATCTCGATTAATTACAATACAAACGTATGCGAGAACGCAGCGGGAACGCAACATACCCGAGACGGAATGTGTGAAAGCACTAAATAAATGTTCTTGATACGCAAACCGCTCGAAATATATTTCTACTGTTTAAAAATTCAATCTGTATGATGTGTTTAATTAACTTCCTTGGTATCGAGAAACCGATTCTTATTATCATCGATGTTTCTGATTCTATAAACATGCAACAACTGTTTGCCACAAGATAGGTTAATTATAATGATTTTTATATACAGTGATTCTTATACTGCTATCTAACATGTTATTTTAAGTTGCGATAGAAACAAAATACATTATCTTGAAATAAATCTTATTGGAATTCGTCGTGAAGGTACTCTGAAAGGATCTCATAACTGAAAAACGAAAATTTAAGTAGATTAAGAGTAATTTCTTATAGATCGATAGCAATTACTGATTTAAAATTAAACAATAGCTTTCTAGTAGAAAATCGTTTATTTTGACTACATAATGTTTTTATGATAAGATTAATAAGTATTGACAAATTAAAATAATAATTTAATTTCTTGTAAATCTTGTCTTTTTTTTTTATATATTTTACACCAATATATTGAACCCATGTTTAGGAATAAATGATTAGTCTTTTTTATATTAAAGAAACTGGCGCCCGATTTCCTTACTCAAATTCATAGCCAAAACGATAGCTTTAAATAAAGTTTTACTAATATAATAACACATATTTTTAAATGAATATGTCGTTATGTGTTTAATAAATAATTTGCAATATTTTAATAACGATAGGTATGTTTTTATTATTTATATATAAGTTCAATTGTTTTAGTTTGTTTTTGTTATCGAGTGGGTTTAGAATTGCTATTTTCTACTAACAACGAAAGTAGACCTTAGTCTGCATGCATTAAAACTAAGCTTACGTTGAATTCTTAACGTTAGATACAAAGTAAATAGATTCTACCTAGAATTCCTAGTGCAGAATTTGATTTTAGAATGGCACACTTATATCGCCTCTTAAAAAGTCTAACTTTTTTACATTTTCCAATAGAATACACGATGTTTAATAAGAAAACTAATAAATTAGGCTTGCATTTAAGTTGGTTGGCATTTTTATATGCAGCGAAAATATTTGAAAAATAAGTTAACGATAAAATTATACAAAATATTTAAATAACCGGAGTTCAATGAAATCATTTATCCAATCACGTAACCAGTATTATGCAGTGGTGACGCAATATCGCCAATAATGCTTGATACATTCTCTCATGAATTTTGTAGAACTCGCTTTAAAGTTTTCTTTTAGTTATATATTTTTTAATGTGATTGCGTCATATTCAGATTATAGTTATGGATTTCGAAACAAGATCGGTATGATATATTATCCCAACAATTTTTCACTGAGATTAATGCTACTACCAATTTCACACTTTAAATTAAATAAACAATGTTAGACAACATCACATACTTTAGCCTTCCTTCATAAAGCCTTCGTATTATGGAGT